GATCGAAATCAGGACCGACAATGAATCCCAATGTGTTCGTGATTCCTTTTCCATTCGACCTCATATAACCAATGCTAGAAGTTGAAACCGCACGAAGTAAATTAACAAGTAGTGTCTTTTTATCTCCCACTCCAAATTAGGGGCGGTTAACGATTTCTGACGAAGATAAAACATCTGTACGTTGCTATTTGCTGCATTGGTATTAGGGAACGAGTGTTAACTCATTTGAAAACCATGGAAATTAGCAGTAAGATATTACGTAGATTGTATCGTGGTTATTCGATGTGAGTCGGTTGAATAATGANGCACTAATACCTTTGGTTAGAAAAATAAATACCGGTCTTATCTGGCCTGTTCAAAAGATATTGAGAATATGTTTCTTTCACTTTTGTCAACAAACTCGTTTGTATACTTTTTCTTTTTCAATAATCGTTTTTTTCTGACAGGGGTCGTTGCCGAAGAGAGGTCCTTGGACGTCCTAGTTTGGCCTCCACCTTGCCCTTAGATATAACGTGAGTTCCGCTTGTTCAATTTATCCCAAGATTGTGTGTTCGTCATGTGTTATCAATGGAACGTGTTGTGCTATGTAATTGTTTTCAGTCGCACAAACAAAATGAACGTTTGCATAATCATGTCTTGTTTAGCTTTTTTTAGTTTGTAATGCTTTAGTCTGATCGTGGTAAACCTTACTATTTTACTCAAGCTACATCCACTCCATTTTGCTGTTTGGAAAACAACATCAGTGTCCATCCGCCAATGGTGCATCCTCATCATTGTTTGCGTTGTCAGTCTGTTTTTTTTTTCTATTTTCTATTGGCTCACAGTTTAGCTGCCTTCGTTGAATGAAATAAAGCTCAAATATGATGCAATTCTGTTTCATCTGTTTTGTTGGGGAAAATATTTTCATATTACGGTTGATCAATCCGAAGATTCTATGAATTAGATGTAGTTTTGCGTTGAACTTCCGTTCCCGGAACTTGTTATGTTGAAATTTTCCGATCGGTTTCCAGGTGACTCACAGAGCAATCATATAGTTTAGAGTACTGATGTGCAGTTGAATGATGCCGTTCTGCTGCCTCCAATCTATTTCTTGGTTTTACCATCGTTCAGATCATGCCATTTTTTTTTAGTTTCTTTTGTTGTTGCATTTCGTTGATATGCTGCACAAACAACTTCTGATGTATGGCTTTTCTCAGCATGGATCACATCGGTACTCCGGAAAACATGTTGGAAAACCAAACACAGGCTGGCAATCCACATAGTATTAGTATGGTAGCTCTTCCGCATGATTCTCTCACGCCTGAATGCCGGTTACGTACCATTGGGGAGGTTGACACCCCCGACAAGGCTCAACCGCCTATCGGAAATGGATTTACAACTTGCGAGACTGCTACGGTGGAACATGCCGTTGGTCTGAATCTAGTAGACGCTTCTGTGCAGCAAAGTACTGGCTCTGTCGGGCGTTCGCAAATATCCACCCTCCAGTCTGTTGTCTCAGAACCACTGAACAATTCCAACCAAACTGGACGTTTATATACTCTTGGTGCACAACAAAGTACGACCGAATGCGATTCCATGCGGCTTAAGTCCCTCGGAAGCTCTGAAGTTGCTTTGCGTCAAGTTCATCCCGATCAACTGGTCGTATATTTCAAGGATATGCCTAGACGTCGATATGCTCCGGAGGCCATTATCAAGCAGCGAAAACTAGGTATGTTTGCCCATATCGATTTGCCTTTCATTCAGGGGCACCAATAGTTCGTAACCTCAAATGTGTCACAGGTTTTAACCTTTAGTTCATCAGATACCCATTGTGGAATTTTTCTTTCGATGGCTTTCATGATCTAAAGCAGAAAGTATCATTATCACTCAGCTCACATTTCGTTCCGACGTTATCATTAGTACATTTGTATACCTCCATCCGGTTTTGTGACCATTTAACTTAACTCACTCGGTAATCCATGTATCGCTAGTAATAGAAGTGCATGTAGTTAACTTACTGTAATTTTGGAATAATTCTCCGTTCACCTCAGTTTTTACAACCAATAACCACGCATTTCCATGCGCCGTTTTTGGTTGCTGTCTCTGCGTTGCCCAGTTTGATGAAGAGATAGAGGGAAAATTTGAATATTGAAGGCGTTGTCAAGGTGAAAGTAGATAACTCAGGTAGACTGTGGTTGCAAGAATAATGAGTAGACACACGAGCACCACTGTTTACCACGCGCTGCCATATAACTCACTGTCGAAACGTTGACCAAGTTGATCCCGATGTCCTCATTCAGGAAGCCCAACGCTACCAGTATAAGCAAGTCTAAAGCTCAGAGTTTTCAGACCCTCATGCCAAGTCTGAGTTTGACCACCCTTGCTCTTTTATCCACTCACTACCAGCTTCGGCAAACAGCGCTGACCGTGATAACGTACCTGGTGATATGCGCAACACATGCTCCAACAAGCGTAATTTATGGAGGTCGACCACGTGCTACAGTGGGCGATCGCGATTACCTAGAATTCTGCACCCTAACTTCAGCATTACTCGTCCGTTTTCCCCGCCAAACTCGTGCAATGCGACGTAGATAGCGGTGTTCGAACAATGATAATCTAGATTGATCCTGTTCTCGTAATGTCCAGGTTTCTGCACTGTATCGCAGAACTGACCGAACTTCTGCAGCATACATTCGACCCTTCACAAACAGCCGGATGTCGCGACGGAGCCACAGATGTCTCAAGTTGGCAAATGTCAATCGAGCCTTCTGTATACGTGCCGACACTTCATCCGCCTGGCGCAATGTCGCTGCCCAGATTGCAAGGCATCGTTCAATTCCGGTTACTTCTCCAGTTAGAGTGAGGTTGGGAGCTTGACCAACCCAGTGTTGCAGCAATATTTTACACTTCGAAGGTGCAAGACACTTGCGGGACACTGATACATTGGCACTCAAACTTTCCAGGAAAGCATGCTATTTACCTGGATCTTTACTTAGCAATAAGATTCCTCCTGCGTACTTCAGATCAGACACTCTGCCACCTGTGGGCAAATCGATGCCACTATGCTCGAACGATGACAGGCAGTTTTCATAATCAAATATATAACGAAATTATATAGAAAAGGAGAGCAGGGACAAGCTTGACCATCACTGGGCAAAATAGTTTCATCAGCTCGGACACGCCTTCAGCTATTGATATACAGAAATCGCACAATGGAAACTGACTATTTGGGTCCACTCTTCAAAGCGAGGCAGTGTCAGAGTATAGAGTGATCAACTGAGCCGAAGGCCGCTTTCAAATCAAGGAAGACAGAACTGGTGGGTTTACGAAAGGAGTGTCTGTGTTCAAAATTTCGGTCAAGAGTGAAAATGTAGAATAATTTAAGCTATCGATTACTCACTGATCTTCACCAAAGCAGGTAGAGGCCTTGTTTGTCCCCGTGTCTTACTTCCTCTGGAGTATAATGGTTGGTGGTTAGCCTTATATTCTCTCATCCTGTGCGTACTGAATTGTTTTAGGGTTACTGATATAGCCCCCGGATATTGATTTGCGATAAAGGAATAACTGTACTGCTCTTCTCTGTGATGCAGCATTACAGAGAGTGGTCCAAATAAACTAATGTTTCACAACCGTATCCTACATTCTGAGCTGTCAAACTTAGAGGCAAGAAGAATCAACCGTTTGACCTTATGAACCCGAGCGTATAATCCGTTGAACTGGACACCGGTCCCCAATGGATTGCGATTTTCATACCCCGCCCCACCACTGTCTTGCG